GTGAAAGTGAGATGGAGGTGGGAGGAAAACACAGCACTATACTACTAACACTGCCTATGTGTACAAAAAGACTTGAAATCTTTTGAAGTGCATTTTATTTCAGTGCATCAATAAGACAACCTTAGATTGTGATTGATTTGTTATTTTGTGAACTGCGAGGTGCAGGGCCTTGGCCTGGTCTGTTTGTGCGTTGATTGTCCTTGTATGACCTTGTGGATAACAAAGACCCTTTAGGTTTTTTTTTGCTCTGCGGCTAGAGGGGCATCGTGAATGGAAAATTATGTTCTTTTCATTATGTCCCCCATCTTTGTCCAATACGGTACGCCGCCTCCACAGCTGAAATGAATGGGTGATTATTACAGACACAGGCAGAGCTGTGTATGGCGTTTCATTCTTTCTGAGCTCATCAAGGCAAGCATAAGAGGTAAAAGGAATAGAGGGGTGGAAATACAGGCAGTAACTACACTACAAACCATGCAAGAGAACAGATGAGTAGAAAGGTGCATGGCATATATGCCTGACCACTGAACGGCAATTACAAGGCATTCATTTTGGGTATGTGGGCCTCTCCTTTTCACCTCACTTTGAACAAGTCTGCCAACTCCAGTAAGTATCTGATGCATGAATTAGTCAGCAGGTAGCAAGCATCCTAAGCTATCAGACTGAGAATGAAGAGCTGCCAGTGGTGTTTCTGCTGCATGCGTCTCTGTGAGAGGCAAAAATAGTTGAAAGAAGCTCTGCTTGAATTATATAGAGGACTCTCCCAGTGCAGCATTGGTCTCTTTAAATCATCTCACTGACTCAGGGTTATTTCAATAATATATATATATAAGCTGAGTTTTATCAGGATTTAGATGCAGCAGTTGGTCTGAAATCTCAATATGCCAAAAACACTTGGTCGATACAACAAATTATGAATGCTTCACAGAAAATCACTAAACCCACCGCTTGGCATTAAACTTTGATAAGTTTAAAGATATTTCTTTATACTTAATTATGTTAATCATAATCAGGAGCTATATATAATGTTCCAACATCAACCATGAGCAGAACTGACTCTGATACATATTTAGTGATGTGTTTTTGTCTCGGGAGGGCAGATGTTTGCTCCACAGAAAGCAGAGTTGGCAGGTTCACCGCCATGACGTCCTTCTCTTTTCTCTCACTCCTGGCAGACCTGTGCCTGTCCAGCTTGGCTGGTGCAAACTACTCTGCTCCCATTGTTCTCTCCTGAATGCACCAAAAACGCCCATGGGAAAGAAGACTGAACACAGCATGGCAGTATCATTACAGCCTATTAGATAATCTCAGGACATGAAAAGATTCAGTCAGTCTAGATTTTTTAAAACAGGATTTCGTCTTGAAACACAATCAACCTTCTCACAGCTTTTAAAGTTACAAACCCAGCATGACCAACCCAACCCCAAAGTACAGTGAAAGCAAGAAAAGTAGAAATGACACAGAGAAGATAGAACAAAATATATATTCTCTTCTGAAAATGGGCAAGTTCAGATCTATTTGACAGCTGGTCATTTTGATTTATAAATAACTGTTTTGAAAATACTTCTCTGATTTTTTTCAGTGTCTTTATGCACTGAATCATATTTCCTTCATGAAATGGGAAATATAGACAGAGAATATACAAAACACAGACAGCAATGACAGTGCTGGGGCTCTTCTGCTGTTTGAAGAAGTAAACCCAAACACATAGACAAAATGCTGGATTTATTTAGTCATATGGATGAACATGTTTTCTATTTGTGCATGTGTATATGCATATGTTTGCTCATATATTTGCCCCAGTGGGGAAGAAGCAGGGAAAGAGGCCAATAGCATATTTATCAGGGCCACGCAGGCTTGCAAATTATTCCAAATAGGGGAACCAGTCACTTCTCGCCTTTTGATCTCTTCTCTCACTGCTCCCTAATTCTAACCCTCCTTCCCTTTCTACTCTGTCTATATAATCACAGTTTTCATTTGAACCATTTCTCTTCTGCCTTCACCCACAGAGGGCAGGTTCGGTACTTAAAACGAACTCCTAAAAGGGAAATTTTGTGTGGGATTGTTTTCCTGTCTTGTGTTAGTGTGTGTTCTTACATGCACAGACATGCTCTTCTTGTCCTTTAGTGTGGAGTACTGTTTATACTGAGCTGAAATTTAAATCGGGGCACAAAGGTCTGAATGAAAACTCGCGTTCAGACCTCCATTTGAAACAATCCCCTGGCTGCTACATCAAGCTTGCTGGCAGTGTCCCACAGGGAGCTCCGATTAAATACCCCCCTACCAGCCTGGTAGGATTCCTGGCATGTCAGAGGGTTTAACAGCATCCAAATCACTTTCCGTATCCCCTCAGATCATCCTGACAGTCCACACTACTTCTCCCACCCACGCAGTCATTGCTGTTCATTGGTGAGCACAGAAAGACGGAATATCAGAATTAAGAGTAATAACCTGTTATCTTGTTCACGCAGTAATTACGAGCTTTGCTTCAGTCTCCTGCTATTATGTTTGTTAATAAGTTAGCCCCATTGGCTAATCCATAATTGTTTTTCATTTAATGCCAAAGGATATTGCAAAACTCTCTATATACTGTATTTTGCTGAGTTAATAAACACAGCAAGATTTAAGAAGATGGAATATTTGAGTTGTGATCTGTTAAGGCTGAATAGTAAAGGGGCATTTCTTTACACTTTGAAAAAGCAACATACTAATGCACAGTTTTTCTCCGCTATCATACAGGAACTTATCTGATTTAGGTTTAGAAGATCCTTAATGAGCGATTAAATTAATGGGGTTATTACAGTATGTATCATAGCCATTTTATGATTTATGCACACTGACAAACACATAAACACCCCTCAGCTAATGTACATTTGTACTTATGGGACAAAGTTTGTCTTTTCTCAAAGGTTGTCCCCTGACTTCTGTCTGCTCCATTCACTTTGTCAGATTTCTGCTGTTCCTGCTGCTGCAGAGCCACGTTTTGTTCTCCAGTTGGCCAATCTCTCCGTCTGCCTGCCATACAATGCCTGACCCACTGCCAACAGCAGTCTCAGTGCTCAAGAGTACACTCACTGGGGAGCTGCAAACATTACTACTGTGCAAATTCAACTAACATGGCGTGGCTCCTGTCAAACAAAGGACATGGCCACACACATGCTTTTTCAGAGAGGCAAATGCAGTCCACATTTCATAACATGACAGTGTCATGATAAATGCATCCAAGCAGGGCTATATTAGTCATGTTCTTAGTGGCGCATCCCCAGAGGATGACATGCTATCATCAGTCATGGAGGTAGAGGTTGGAGAAAACATACAGCAACCCCTATCTGCTCAGTAAGTACAATCTGGAGGACTGCAGCTTTAAATACTTGAAACTGTACAATTGTACATAAATGGGCATCATGTGAAATGATAGGTGTGTATACCTATTCATATTTCTTTAAAATTAATATAGACCATTTTGGTATGAGAAAGGTAAACATATACCTACCGGAAACCAAAAACAAACACAAGACCTCAAATGCGAGCAACTGAGTATGGTTGTATGCATTTACAGATATGCCAGCATGTGTACATTTGTGGATGGCTCAGATGAAGAAGCTTACAATCCGAACTACATGATGCAGTCCTCTCCACCCCAAGGCCGAAAGGGAAGGCAGCTGAGACAGCAATTTTACAGCGCTTCGACAAAGTCAATCTCTCTATCCCTTTGAACTCCAGCTCTCTCTAATCCAAACTTTACAGGCCCCATTTGGTAACATCATATTCGTCCACGCAATACTCATATTAGGCTCTCTGATCATTTTCAGCTGACGTTAAGCTTGGTGAAAATGCAGAGGTGTCAAATAATGCTCCCATTGCCATGTGAAACAGTGGACCCAGGTGGAAATGCATTGCAGAAGGCCGCAGACCAAGGGACTCCGAGTCACAGAGCGGAAGAGTATCTTAAAGCTTTTCCAAAAAAAGGAGAGCAGCAAAGCTTTAAGTCTCGGAGGAATTTGAAAGCCAGAGAAATCCAGTCGCGGATATTAAGAGGCTTAATCTAAGAGCTTGCTGAGGCTGACTTTTGCTGTGTGGGCCCCATCCCTATCCTCCTTGACAGAGGTTAGAGAGGAGACGAGAGGGATAAGAAGCAGAGGAAGGCAGATGGGAGCGATGATGAAAAAAGGGAGCTAAGTATCATTAAGTCAATTTCATAGCTTTTTTATAGTAAAAATTAAACATCAGCTTAGATCCCGGTTTGTGCTTGTTTCCTGTGTACGTATCTAGGTGACTTATGCACTGATTTTCATAAGCTCTGTCTTTAATCGCCTGTAAAAGAGACAAACAGTGCACTGGAGTCAATGAAAGGGAGGGAGCACTTGTCAGACATGAGCGGAAGAATCTGAGGTGGATTTTCATTCACACTATATTTAGACAAAGCTAAATGATCGTACTGAAATTCACAAGACACAATGACACAAAATGGCATGGGCTGATATCAAACTAATTATCATCAAGCTGCAGATGTCTCCCGGGAGAGGAGATGAGAAAAGAGAGCAAACCGGCAGGCAGGTGGATAACAGGACTCTCTACTGCGTTCGTGGCTTTCCTGCTTCAATTGATGTTGATGCCTTTTAGTACAATAATATCCACCATGCCTGATGGGAATTCTACAAATTCAACAAAACACACAGTTTTGCACTCTTTTTTTTTACACTGTCCACAGGAGCATCTTAAATTGCTGTGATGCTCACAATTACAAATTGCATGCTTGTCTGGGTCATATCTGCTTAGTCAACTCTGATATAGTTGCTTTTGCAGCACAATCATTGGTGAGCGTTTATTTTCTAATCTTGCAGTGTTACAGGAAACATCAGCAGACTTCTAAACGTTTCAGATTTTTACTGGAACATTTTACAGAGCATTATATAACTCAGCGACTGCATCAAATGATTATTGGTATTGTTAAATGCAATGTTTAAATATATATTGTGTCTGCCCTTCTCTGTATTCAGGAGGTATTAACCGGGCCGGGGCAGCCGTTCCAACGTTCCTGCGGACCCCCACCATGATCCAGCCCCACTTGGACATGAAGCCCTTCCTACAGTTCCCCATGGAAACCCCCCCTCCTCCGCACAGCATAAACCTCTTCCACAACTTCAACACGGTGAGGGCTGATGCAGACACGCAGACACAAACAAACACACGCACTGCAGTCTTTTAACTCATTCACCGCTGGAAGGAAAAGATGGAGAAGAGATCAGTTCTTCAACAGATTTTCTCTGCTTTTGTCGTGCAGCAGGTTATTTTCATCATGCCTGTGGTAACCGACTGTGTGTGTGACAGTTTTAGATGATCTAATTGACTTATACATTTTGAGTCTACGACTGTGTTTGTAGGCATAGATTAGAATTATATTTCCCAGACTGCCATATTTTATCTTCATACTTCCTGGCCTATTCCTTAAATCAAAGACCAATAATTACAGAGCACCATTGAGACTATACTTACAGTTGCACACTTCAAGCACCATAGTTTGCCTGATGTGGTATTTATCTGAAGAAAAACTAGAGTGATTTTCCTGCTTCTTCCCCCCCACCCCCTCGGGTCGATCTGATATAATTTAGATTTGAGCATTCTTCCTCCTTCAACATGCTTCTGCTTCCAATCCTCATCCTCAGTGCGTTAACTATGTTTGAAGGTCCACAGGGACTGTAAGCTGTTACTGCTGAGAGGAAGCCTTGATTAAACAGTGCTTTTCAGATCTATGGCCAGGAGATGGGGCCATAGGAGAGGCTTAGAGGACAATCTGACCGTTCAGATTAATTCCATAATTGCACAAAAATACAATTTTTATCTTGAAATGTTCTGAAAAGAAATTTAAAAAATGGATAAACGACTGACTGGCACACTTGCACTGACAAACAATTGGAGCTTGATTAAAGGTCTAACAGAGATGTGAATCACGTCTAAACACATTCCGGCTGTTTTGGACCTGTTATGTGTACAGAAAAGCATCTATTTTTATGTTTTTGCTGCGAATGAGGTTGTAGCCCTGACAAATGCAAAAAATGCTTTATGTTTAATTTAGAGTTGTGCATTTGAGTGCAGGAGGACTTTGAGTAAGAGAGTGCCGTGCTTTTACCTCCCTCTCTTGGACGCAGCCCTGTGCCTATCTGCACCAACACAGTTAAAGATGATGCACGTAATATTTCTACGAGTACCAAGAATTGAGCCATCAGTTCCTTATTCGTTCAATCTTCTTCAACAAGTTATCTGTGATGGGCTCATACAGTCATAATGAGACTTTACTTCACATAGAGGGAAGGGTATCTCCCAAAAACATAAATACAGCTTTAACTATCCTACGTTGCTCAGTTTTGCTGTTATTCTTAGCAGGCTAAATGATTTAGCTGCCGCAGTAAGAGCCAGTATAAACACACACTCGTGCACTTTGGAGGAATGACTCCTTCACAACCTTGCTAGTGGTACAAATACAGGTATTTTGATTACATAGTGTTGAGAATTTCTTCTCTTTGCTTGTGAATAACTTCTTTTTTAGTAGCTCAGGATCTCCCCTCACACAAACATTACAGTGTTTATCTCCTATTTGACTGAATCATCCCCAAAGCTTTTGAGTCTTAGAGTGATCACTTATTTTGATATCCACTACGCAAACAGATCCATCTTGTGGAATCTTAATTATGTGGAACTGTGGAACTGGCTGAACGTTAGCAGTCATGGGGTTGGCTTTGTTGTTGCTTAAGGTTTTGGCATCGTCCGTGCCTTCTATTCACAGTGGAAAAGTAGAGACATTAATTTGGCTTTTATTCATGCAAGCAGACAAGGTAGAAAAAATTCTAATAATATGTAACTCAAGCAGACACAAGAGCAACTAAATGCTAAAAGGTTTAAATGGTGTCCGTGACATCACAGTCACATTTTAAAAACATTTTTTTTAACTTAATTTGTATTTACTTTCAACCCTTATCAGTTAGTTTAGTGAGTTAATAACCCTGATCAAGTTACGCTGATTTCTAAAGTCAGCCATGAAAGTGACAATGTTTATCCTTGCATGTAATATTTGTAACTAAGAATATGTAAGGAAATACTTGAAAATGGCATTTGCTCATATGACTGATGTCTGAGAGTTATGAGCCTTACTCAGCCATAAAAATAGAGTGATGGTGATATTCATTTGGTTGGTCTTGTTTAATTAAAAGTAAATACAACATACTGTTGCTATTTTTATGGTTTTTTTTCAGTTGTCAAGCCTTTTGGCAATGCATTCAAAAGTTTATTTTCCTGTAGATCAACTTTCAAATTTGATACCATCCTTGTCTTTTTCAGAAAGATTTTTTTTTTTGGGGGGGGGGGGTCGGGTTCAACATTAAAGTATGTATGTAGCAACATTGGATCTGTTTAATTTGATTCCTTGTAGTTACGCTCAGACTGTCTCAGACTTAAATATCTAAAACCACTTCCACATATATTTGTGTTTTTAATGACCAATGAAAATATATTGCCTACGCGGACTTAGACAAGAGTACATTTTTAACTTTGACAGCATTCAACACGTATTAAAGGAAACAGTTCAATTTTATTATTAGTTATCTAATTATTGGTTGGAAACAAAGCTTCTGCATATAAGATTCATGTAATTGTTCACTTTGTATGGTTCAGCTGAATCAGGTTCAGCATGATCTCACAAAGAACACATTTTAAGAGCAAGTAATGAAGAAAACCATTTGTCCCTGTCAGAGACATGCCTGCCTCTGTGAGTTTAAATGAAAGCTTCTATCCCATTCCAAATCCTGTACCGATCTTTAAACCAACAGGGGAAGTAACTAGTGGATTTTGTTTGTCTGTGACTTGATAGATTGGTGGGTAAGCCAAAGGCTCAAGTGGCAGAGGATGACATTTGTGAGGAAGAGTGGGATTCAAGCACACACATACACACACAATCCTGGCAGTGTCTGGACAAACTGAGTGTCCATTACAAAGAGGAGGGAGAGCAAGAAACCCAGAGAGAGAAGGGGAGGAGAAAACTGGAAAGCGCAGAGAGGGAAATACAGAGAAGGGTGAGTCAGGGAGAGGAAAAGTAGATGAGAGGTGGAGGAGGCTGAAGCAAAGGAACAGACACTTGTTAGGGTATCTGTTGAAAAGGAACATTTCTCTCGAAGCATCCGGAAGAAAGTCAGCTCCCTCAAAAACAAAGAAACAGAAAGGCTAACCAGCAATGCATCACTAGGTGTAAGCTCTGTTTTTCTGAGTTTGTCTGCATTCAGCTTTAACAACAGTGGGCTGAATGAGTGAGGAAGGGGTACCACACACCCTCAGTCTCGCACATGCTGAGACCAACACACTGTCCTCAGATAGCAGCACACACACAGGAGGACCAATGCAGCTGCAAGCCTCCACTGACACAGAGGAGAAGAGGGTGAGTACCTAAAATCCTGAAGCTTGATGTCTTGATCCTGGCTCATGTCAAAAGAACAGAAGGACTGCGGGCCTTTTTGTTTTCTGGCACCTAACTGTCGCTACCAGAATGGTTTTACAGAGAGAACAGAGAAATGGAGCCTTCTCTCAAGGAAATCAACAGCTCTAAAAATGTGGTGAGGACTTGATCAAACAGGCAGCATGGTGCTTTGGTGGTTAGAACCTGGTACCCCAGGTTTTGTGGCTTCCTACCCTGCTTTTAATCCGTTGTCAGGCTCCAGCAACCCCACTGGGGAAAAGCGTTATAGATAATGGATGGATGGATGGATGGATGGATGGATGGATGGATGGATGGATGGATGGA